TATGATAAGCATGTAGACTTTGCTGAAGGAAGTGGTGGGGAGAGGTGGTAAGGGAGGCTGAAGTTGGGGGAGTGGCTTGTATGGCTGAAGTGTGTGTGCTCAGTCCCTTAGTTGTGTCTGACTCTTTACAACCCCATGGACTGCAGCCTGCCGGGCTCCTCTGTCCATGGGTTTTCCCAGGCAAGAATACTGGAATGGGTTTACTCCTCCAGGGGATCTTTCCGACCCAGGGATTGAACCCATGTCTCCTGTATTGGCAGGTGGATTCTTAACCACTGAACCCCTCGGGAAGTCCTTATATTGCCAACCTTCCCTCAATTGCCAGCTCCAAATCCTCTCATCCTTTTTATGCCTATTAATAGTTGCTCCCTAACCTCTACCTTTAACCTGGCACACCCTTACCTGTCACAGTGCCCAGCAAAACAAAATGCCCTCAGCTAAGTGGCCCCACTTTCCCAAGAAGACAGCCCACATCCATCTCTTTATATTTAATCTGGGACGGTTCCATGGTGGACAAGATGCAGGGGTTTTAGTCAGGGAATTTTCATCATTTGTCCTCTGGATTCTGAGTCTCATCACTGGTTCCTGTTCTGAGTGATCATAGCCCTTGGTTCCAGCATTGGAAGCACAGCAGAAAATCTGATTTTTGGTCTGGATCCAAAATAGGGATATGACACCCCATACACGGTCAGTGTGTGTGTGTTTCTCTAAAAGAATCACTTAACCTAATTTTCTTAGCATCAACTCGAAATGCTATGTAGACTGAGTGAAAAAAAATTCACCTAAGTACAGAGGGTAGATCTTGTTATTCACTTTAGACAGCCCATGAAGCTTTTTTTTTTTTTTTTTTTTTTAGCAATTTATGGGTTCTTCACACTCTCACTCCTCTTTTCTCTAAGCCTGCAGAAAGGAAGATCTTCCAGAAACAGGTTCTTGTGGTGATATGGCCAGGGCGGTGGGGTCATTTGGGTGTGAGCCACATCTGGTCAATTTAGGGCTCTTGCAGATGGGCTGTGAGGGGCAACTCCCAGGCACTGCCAGAAGATCCTATGGTCTGGGATTCAGAACAGGGGGCCAGGCAGCTGGAAATGCCTGCACCTCATCTGGCACTGAGGCTTCTGGAATGGTTCTGCTGTAGCCACAGCAAAACTGCTGTGGCTTTTCCCGTCACTCTAGTCACAACTCAGTTAGCCCAGCTTGGGGCTGGGGGAGGCACCTTAGCTCAAATTTTTCCAAGACTGTACATGGTCGTGGGGAGAGAGGAACTTGGGAGGCTGGTAGGAAAGGGGAGAGATGCTGGGTTCCCAGAACAAAAAATCCCTAATGTTCATTTTATGAATTTTTAAAAAAACTTTGTGACTTTTTAATGAGAATCATTTATGTTAAGGGCCCTGCACAGTGCCTGGCTCTGAGTCAGTCCCATACAAGCTAGCTACTATGATAGAGGTGTCAGCATGAGAAATAATTTGGGGGAGGACACATGTGAGAATGAATAATAATAGGATTTGATGGTGCTGTTATTAAAACTTGCACAGACTGTTCTGGGAGCCAGTGGAGGAAGAAGTACCTTGGTCAGCTTAGCTCAGGGCTGGTCAGGGAAGGCTTCACTGAGGAGGCAGACTTTGAGCAATACCTGATGACAGACTAGAACTGGACTGGTGGGGAAGGAATAGAAAAGTAGGAAAATCCTACAAGTTGAGGGAACAGTATGCTCAAAAGCACAAAGGTGTGAAGAGGTGAGAGATTCACGGTATGTTCTGGAAAGAGCAGGCACTGGTATCTGGGATCCAGAGCATGTGTAGGATGATACAAGATGATGCTGGAAAGGTAAGTAAGGGTTTGATGGCTGAGGGTCTTATTTGGGCAAGGCAGGAAGTTTGGGTTTTATTTCTTAGCAGGGAGGGTGTACCATTCACCTCTGTGTCTGCACCCAAGGCAGACATCACCAATCGATCATGATACTGTCTGCAAAGGAAGCACCCAGGTAGCTGCTGTCAATCACTTGGCATCATCATGAAAAAAGGAACACAATTCATTTGCATGGGCTACTAGAGAGTTGAAATAGGTGGGTGATGAGGGAGGTTGTTGCAGGTGTTCAAGTGAGAGATGGTAAGTCCTAACCTAGGACAAGGACCATGGGGATGGATTTGTTGCTGCCTGCATTTGTCTCCACCTTACCTGTCCAGCTAGAGATTGCAAGCAGTGGATTCATCTCTACCCCCAGGCCCGGTCAGGGAACTCAGGGTCCTGTGTGTGTGTGTGTGTGTGTGTGTGTGTGTGTGTGCGTGTGTGTATTAGCTCTGTCTGGGCTCCATTGTAGGGAGAAAGGTGTTGTACTTCTGGACCTGCGCTAACCCACAGGGTTTGCCACTAGCCACATATGGCCATTTAAATCTAAATTAATAAAATAAAAATTTTAAATGCAGTTCCTGAGTCCCACTAGCCACAATTTCAAGCACTCAATAGCCACATGTGGTTAGTGGTTACAGTATTGGATGATGCAGATATATAATCTTTCCACCACCACAGAAAGTTCTATTGGACAGCACTGGTCTAGAGAAAGCTGAGTTGGGTGTCCAGATCATGGGAACCACCATGACCCTAGTTAGCCTAGGTCAATTCCATCTTCTACCTGGTGGCAGTGACTAAGTTAAGAGCCTGATAGTCTTGCCAATTTATGTTTGCCTGCTAAGGACAAAGCCTCCGAAGGGAGAATCTTAGAATGGACCCAGAGCTTAAAGTAATCTCAGAGCTAATCCACCAGACTTGGAGGTTCCAAGGGGAAGGGAGTGCCCTCGTGGTGACTCCCAGCACTGTGCTGGAGAGAGGGCTGCTTCTGTTACTCTCATATCACAAAGGAGGAAACTGAGGCTCAGAGGGGCTTCACAGGGGGCGCTGGTGGTAAAGAACCTGCCTGCCATTGCAGTAGACCTAAGAGACACGGGTTCGATCCCTCGGTGGGGAAGATCCTCTGGAGGAAGACATGGCAACCCGTTTCAGTATTCTTGCCTGGAGAATCCCATGGACAGAGGGGCCTGGTGGGCTACAGTCCATAGGCTCGCACGGTCAGACAACGACCAAAGCCACTTGGCACACGGGGGCACGAGGCTCAGAGAGGGGTGTGCCTTGTCCTTTGGCAGAGGACTAGGAAAGTCACGCAAACTGAACCATAACAGACTGTTTTGCTGCCTCGTATTCCTTGGAATCATTGCTGAGGTTTTTGGGCTGGAGCAGAATTGGTGGACCTCCTCCAGCGACCGCCTCTGGCAGGCCTCTGCACCGCAGAGCCGCCGCCATAGGGGTAGATTGGGGGAGCTTTCTGCTGTTGCTCCCTAGATCCACCAGAGGGCGCAGAAGCTGTTGTGCGTCCGCCTGAGGTGGGCGGTGAGGCGCGCGAGTCCTTCCTTCTAGCAAGGAGTCTGGGCTGGGACCCTGCTTCTCGCCGGCCCTGTGCAGGGCCATATGGCCCATGTGGTCCCTGACCTCTAGGAGAGCTCAGTTTAGAGGGCAGAGACAACGTAATGGCTTCTTTGGGTCTGCAGCAAGGGGCCTTGAAGGGTGGGTAGGAGTGTGCCAGCCAGCTTGGAGTGCAGTTGTGGAGGGCAGAAGTGGGACGCCCAACAGTTTGCTCCTACTTGGAGAAACCGTGACCTCGGTGACCTAATTCTCAGAGCTTGTCTGCCCTCCTTGCCTCATCCTGGACCTGCTTTTCGGTTCTCAGTTGACAGAATGGAGGAATTTCTGAACAGATTCTTTATGCTCTAGTAACACCTAAACTCCGAGGAGTTCCTCACACACAACAGGTGATCTCACGCCCCTGTGCCTTTGCATATGATGTTCCCGCAGTCTGGGACATCCTCCCCCACCTTCTTCAGTTGACCAACTTCTACTCATCCGTTGATTCAGCTCAGGCAATGGCTTTTTCCAGAGAGTCTCTTCCATTCCTGGCCTGGATGAGATGCTTCTTCTGGGAGTTCCTGCTGCCCATTTTGCTGTGCACGACTTGAGGACTGGCATTGGCGCATGCGGCCCCATAAAAGTGATTGAGACGCATAAGGCCTGTCCCGAGCAGGGCTTCAGCCAGTAGGTTTGCGGGCCCCAGGGGCTAAGGAGGGGCCTGTTTCTTTCTGCACGGGAGGGACATAAGCCAAGTTTTCTCACTGGGTGCTTGTGTGCCCAAGTGTGTGTGTGTGTGTAGGGTGGGGATTATAGGCCCCGCATGCCAGAGCTTCTTCCTGCATCTCCTCCCTCTGTGTTTACGTGGGGGGCGGTGGCTAGGGAGAGGCTACGGCTCGAAGGCCTTAGGAAGCATCTCTGGGCTACAGCAGAGCCCAATGCGCCTCTGGCCATACTTCTCAAGGGCTGGGGAAAGGTAGTGAGCGCCGCCCAGAGTCCTGGCCCAAGGACAGAGAGACCTGGAGTCTCGTAGTACTGTCCCTAATACCAAGCGGGCTGCTGACTTTGGGGGATTCCCTGCGCTCCCCAAGCCTCAGTTGTCTTGCCTGTAAAATGGGGACGCAGCAGCCACACTCCTCCAGTTGCCAGGGATTGAGCACAGGACCGACGATCATCGGGAATGGGGTGTGAGGGGGCTCCACTGCTGGGGAGGGGGGAGTCCAGGGGCTGCAGGCGTCTTCGGGCGGGCGCTGGGGGGCGCCGCGCACCTAGGGAGGCTCGCCCCGCCGTAAGTTTGCCTCCAGCTGTTGAATGCGCCGGGGGCGGTGGGGGGACCGGGTCCCCGCAGGGTCAGCGGGGCCGGGGGCCAGGGCGTGCTCAGGACTTAGCCATCTGCGGGGCCGCGGCTGGCAGCCGCGGAGCCCGGCGCGGCCCCCGCCCGGCGGGCGTGTGTCTGTGAGCGTGCGTGTGTCCGCGGCGGCATCGAGCCTGGAGAGGGGGCGGGAGGGGTCTCGCTGCGGCGAGGCCTGCGGAGGGCGCGGGCGCGGGCGGCGAGGGCGGCGGACAGCCCGCGGCCGCGGCCCCTGACGCACGCTGCGCTCCAGCCCCCTCCCGGGCGCGGGCCCCGGCGAGGCAGAGGCGCGAGGCAGGCGGCGGGGGCTGCGCGCACCCGGCGGCGGCTCACAGACACACCGGCCGCGCCACAGACACACACCACACACCGAGCCCGCCGGGCGCCGAGCGCATCGCCCCGCGCCCGCACTCGCACTCGCCCTCACACTCCTGCGCAGGCCCCGCAGCCGGCGCGATCGGAGGCGGTGCTCGGCCCGGAGCCCGGCAGGGGCCGGAGGTGAGTGAATTCCTTCGGATCCGAGCGCCCGCGGCCGGCCCAGACGGTGGGAGTGGGCGCTGGGGCCAGAGGACACCCGCTCCGCCATGGGGGTGGGGCTTGGAGGAGGACCCAGCCGGGGGAGGATGAGACGGGGAAAGCCACCCCCGGCGCCTCCTGGGTCGGGGGATCCCCGTGAGACGCCCCCCGCCTCGGGGGAGGACCACCCTCTGCGGGGCTGGGGGTGGTGGACGGAGGCGGGGTGGGAGGACAAGGAGGACAGTCGGTGAGGTGAGCAGTTTCGGGGCTGGTGCAGAGGTTTGATGGTGGACGGTCGTGCCAGCCAGCACTACAGCGAGCCTCTCTGCCCCCATCTTTGCGATTCGGGGGCTCTCGCACCCCTCTTTCAGGGAGAGGTGCGGGGGTCAAGGAATTCATCTTCTAGCTGGTAAGGGGGAGTTGATTGGTGCGGGATGACAGCTGAGATGGGGCGGGGGGTGGGAGCTAGGGTGGGGCTTTACTCCCCTTCCCCGCAGGAAGGCGATGGTTTGGTAAGAGGACCAGCTTTGGGGAGTGGGGGCTCTCAGGGGGTGGGGACCTTTGCAAAGGCTTTGCCCCTTCCTCTGGTGGCGCTGGTGTGGGGCAAGCAGCGAGGCAGCAGAAATCGGCAGGCTGCAGCTCTGGCAGGGCCAGGGCCAATGCTGGTGTGTGTGTGTGTGTGTGTGTGTGTGTGTGTGTGTGTGTGTTCCAACAACTGGCAGAAGAGGGGGCGGGGGTGGGTGTGTTGGTTGGTAAGATGATGTGTGCACGTGGGGAAGGATGTGTGTTCTGTGTGCGCACACAAGGCTGTGTGCAGAGGTGGACTCCGCTCTGTCTGTACACACACACACACACACACACACACACTCTCTCTCTCTCTCTCTCTGTCTGTGGTCCAGCAGAATATTTGGAGGGGAGAGGGCTGTGTGTTTGTCTACGTGTGAGCTGGGGGAGCTTGTGTCCAGGACGGAGGCAGCCAGATTGTGGTGTGTCAGGCGTGCCCAAGGAGGGAGATGACTGGGATTGTGGTGCTGACCCTCGCTGGGTTCAGCTCTGGAGAAACGTGGTACGTGGTACTTGAAGGCACTTTTTGCAGCTCTGGGCTCCCTGCTATGTCCCTTCCACCTGGACCCCTCCCACCCCAGTGCCTGCCTTTGGAGGGCACTTGGATCCCCTTGCTGAGACACAGGTGTTGGACAGGAGAGTGTGTGTGTGTGTGTGTGTGTCTGGGCTGCGGCTGTTGCTGTCAGCAGGCCAGGCTGTCGGAGGAGAGAAGGGGGGAGGAGGGGGTGCTGGCAGCACCTGGAGGGATGTGGTGGAAGCTGCCTGCCCCAGGCTACCAGATTTAGTTACGGAGGGACATTTTCATCTGGGGAGCAGCCTGGGGGGTGAGTATTTGCATGTGTCTATGTGTGTGTGCTTGGCTTACACACCTGTTCTCAGAGCCTGTTGGCACCTGTGGGACGTGTCATGTCTAGGCCATCAGCAGGGCATGTGGGTCCACATATATGTGTAAACATGTGTCTGGGGAGAGTAAGGTCTGTGCCTGCATGCACGCGCACACACACACACACACACACACACACACAGGTGCTGTCTGTAAATGCCCATCCTGAGCGAGCTGTGTACACCAGTGGGAACTCTGGGCCATCGAACCCGGGGCAGGAAGGAAGCAGAGTAACTGAAGGGGGTCTCAGGGGGGTGTGTTTGTGTGACATCAGTGAGGATCTCTGGGTGTGACGTCAGCTCCAGGTTGCCAGTGACGTCACTGGGACAGCGGTGTGAGAGGTCACCCCCAAGGACCAGGATGATGTCAGTGGGCAGGTGAGGGAGGTGTCACCGTGAGGGTATGTGGTTCAGCAGGGTCACGTCCCTGTGTTTTGAGAGGTGAGAAGGGGAGGGGGTGGAGCTTTGGAGTGAGCAGCCCTTCCCAAGAAGCCCCATTTCCTGAGTGGATGTGGGACCCGTTTCCACAAGGCCTGCCCCACCAATGGCACATCTCTGCTACCTCTCCCTACCCATGTCCCCTGTCTCCCCTCTGCCTGGCACCCCACCAGTCCCTGCTCTCCACCCCATCCCAGTCAGGTGGCACAGACCTTCAGGTGAGTGTGTTCTGGTGGGTGAACATGTGTGTGTGTGTGTGTATGTGTGTGTGTGCGCGTGTAAGTGCAGGTGAGAACAGAAAACAGTCACAGCGAGGGAGCCAGAGACCTTTCGTTCTCATTCCATGTTGCCGGTCTGTGTTTTGTGATATAGACATTTCCATCATCTCTCTGGGCCTCCAGTTCTCATCTCTCAGCTGGGAGATGGTTAGGGACTTGAGGGGGGAATTACAGGAGACAGTGAGCTTCCGGGGGGCCAGATGTCCAGCACATGGTAGAAGTGAGCCCCATCCCTTGGCCTTCTGTCCCCCCCCCGCCCCACCTAGAGCAGCTGTTCCCCTGTTTTGCTTTAAGTCAAACTTTGTCAAGAGCTTTCTTTTCTCTCCTTGGATCCTCATAGCAGTCCTGTGAGGCTGGCAGGCCAGCTATTGTGTGGCCATTTGACAGATGAGCAAACTGAGGTCCAGAGGGTAAAGTAAGCTATTGTTTCGTTCCTTAGTGAGAACTCCCCTGCTGGTGGGTGTGGGGAGACCCCCATTTGATGCGCAGGGCGCCTGCATTTAACAGAGGGACAGGGAGCTCTCTGCAGTGGGGCGAGGAGTGGGAAGTGTCAGGGTGAGGAGCCCAAGGCCGGGAGCTCAGTGGCGGAGGTAGAGGCCTCCTGACTCCAGTCCAGCGCCTGCTTGTTCTGGCACCCCAGGAGATTCCGAGGTGGCCCGACTGATAGGAGCGGCTGCGTCCAGCGCCAAGCCTCCTGTAGTGGGGTCGGCCTGGGGTGCTCATCGGGGGCTCTGAGCCTGCTCCCCAGGCTGGTTCCCTGTCCCTTGAGGTCTGGCGGGATGCCTGCTGTGGATGCAGTCCTCGTTCCAGGGACAGCTCTGCTGTGTCCTGGCCATGTGTGACGCAGGGATCAGCCTCCCCGTCTGTCTCCGAGGTGGTGGCTGCTTGCCTCCCAGGCTTACTGCTGAGCAGGAGTGGCACCTCCTCGGGCAGTCGGGATGGTACCCATCATAGCTTCTCTCACCACTTCAGCTCCAGTGCCCCCAAGTCGGGCCCTCCATCCTGCCACCCCCCCCATGTCCCCCGCTCCAAAACTGCTGTGACAGCACGCTGTGCAGACCCGACAGCCAGGAAGCAGATTGCCTTGAACCCCAAGTCTCCTTAACAAGTCAGGCCTCTTTGGGGAAAGCTTTAATAGTCCAGATTAACTCAGTCCTCTGCCTCCTGCTGTCCCAGCCCAATCCCCTATTAAATTTACCTTCTCCTGGCTCAATGAGCACCTGGGGCAGAGGCACTGTCACTAGTACTGGGGATGGTGTCTGGGAGGGTTGCAATAACAGAATCCCCTCCTTCCCACCACCCCCATCTCTGCAGACAGCCCCCAGGGAGGCCCTAGAAAGCCCCTGAGGACTGGGGAGCCACCTGAGCAAGCTTACACCTGGGGTGCCAGGGGAAGGGCGCTGGCTGCATGGTACTGCTGACAGCAATAATTATAGTGATAATAATGATATTAGCTGATATTCATCGAGCCTGTACTGAGAGCCAGCCCTGGTGGGAAGCTCTTTATAGGCGTACTCGTTGTTTAATCCCACTAAGCCTTCTGCAGTACAGCTGTTATTATTTCTCATTTCCCAGACAAGAAACAGACAGGTTACTGACCAGCTCTGGGCCACACAGCAGCAGAACCATGACTGGAAGACCCATGAGTGTACTCTTTGCATTGTTAACCATAAACTGATGAAGCCTTTTGCTAGGGGACCCGGGGCATCTTGGGGTTCCCCTCTCTCTGAGGGACCCCTCAGGGACTCACTTCAGTGACCCTGCTGTAGGGAATCAGTGGGTGTGGCTGCAGGGACAGAAGCGCAGTAAGGCTCCTGGGTCTCAGCCTCTGCGCCCCCTCCCTCTGTATTGACCTGTGACATTCGGGAAGGCAGGTCCTTGCTCCCAGATTCGCCCACAGTGCCTAGCACAGTGCCGGGCGCACAGTGGGTGCTCCCTAGGGGTTCCCCTGGGTAATGGAGGGGATGCTGCTCTAGGATCACCATCTTCCTCAGGCCTGAGGCTGTCGAAGCCTCAGCGGGGCCCCCTGGACCACTCCTCCTCCCTCTCCCTGTCTGACTTGTGGAAGAGCGGGAGCTCAGGATCCCTTTTCTGCCTCTTTGTCTCCTTGATGTGTGTCCCGGGAAAGAGAATTCACTTCCAGAAGGTTCTGTCTCTCAATGTACAGGGGGGGTAGTTGTACTGAATTCCTAACTCGGGTTGGTTACATAAGGGAATGACAAGCATGTAGCATTGTGTCTGGCACATAGTAGGTGTCAATTAGATGATTTCCCTCCCCCTTCCCATCTGTCTCCTTTATTCATTCCTGGTTCCCTGGAATGGGGCTTGGGATGTGTGTGTGTGTGTGTGTGTGTGTGTGTGTGTGTGTGTGTCCAGCCTTCTCTCTTTTCAGCCTGTAGTTTCATTCCCTGAAATGCATAGAAATTGTTTTCTAGAGCCAGGCTAGGGGAACCCGAGGAAGCATGAGAAGAACTTGGGAGCAGCATACTTCCCAGCTGGAGTGTATAGAGGGGCTGGGAGGGGAGCAGGGCATGTTTTTGTGGGTGTGTCTGTGTGTGTGTATGTACACTGGTTACCACCTCTCTTGGGCAAGCAGTGAGCCATTCCCAAGGGCCCAGCCTCAAGGCTGACTCAGTTTCCCTCCTTGGCCTGTCTCTATTGCCTCTCTTCCCCTACAGTTCTCCTTGGATCTGGGAGGAGACACAGGCTGTGGGGGCAGCCTGCCTGCCATCCTCCCTTCCCTGCCCTTGTCATTACCTGGGGTGGGTGGGGAGGAGGTCTCCTGTCTGCCTCTCTCACAGTGTCAGCTCCAAACAGGCAGAGACTAGCATGCCCTCAAAAGGTACTTGTTGAACAACTTTCTTTCATCTACCAGCTCCTGAGAATGGGCTGATGTATTTTGTATTCAGTTCACACGCACACACATACACACTATTACAAGGATGTCTCCCTCAGGAATAACTGCTGTGCCTGGGCTTCAGACAGGAACCCCCAGAGATGAGTTCCTGTCCTGAGGAGACACGAGACACTGGGATTGTCTGCCAGGCGCCTGGCATGGGGCCTGCACACAGTAGGGCTTGCTTGATGGGCGGTCCCTGTTAGTCTGTGACCTGGCAGACCAGGGACTGGTGCTGAGCCGGCCTTGGAAGCAGAGCCAGAGAGGGGATGGCTTCTGCTTTGGGCACTGCAGAGTCCCCAGGATGGCACGCCCGCTACGAGCCAGGCTCAGGGCAAAACACTGTCTATTATCTTGTTTAATTTTGGCTAGAGGATTGTGGAAGAGGTCCAGCTGGCCTCTAGGGTGGGGGCATGCCAGGTGGAGACCATGTGAGCTGAGGTCTGGAGGTAGGAAAGCCCGGAGTGGAATTTGGGACAATGAGTCTGGACATGAAGTTTGGGGATCAACCACACAACAACCTAAATAACCCTAAAATCAGAGCTAAGAAATCCAGCATTATCCTTTCTGTCAGAGAGGATCAGAGTCTGTGGGTACTTATTTAGATGCAGATCCTCAGGCCCTGCTGGCAGAGAGTAGGTCGATGGGGAGCCCAGGAACTTGCATTTTTAGTGCATTTCCAGATGAATTCACCCTGTTTGCAGAGTGGATGGCAGCTGAGGAGGCTGCTGCCTATTCCAGGGGATCTTCCGGACTCTCCAACGCAACCCGGTAGGCATCAAAGCCATATCCGATTTACAAAGTGGGCCTGAACACAGAGGAGCTAGGCGCCCTCCCTTGGGTGACACAACATTAAGATCCAGGCCCATACTGACTAACACTGACTAATAACCTTCGTGTTCACCGACTGCTGTTGTAAGCCTGCTCAAGGAGTCCTTCGTCAAACCCTCAGAACGACCCTCTGCATCCTCGCTGTTGCACAGAGAGATGGAGGTAGAGTGTTCACGGCCTCACTGCTGGTAAAGGCCTGAAGTGCGGTGGTGTGGGGAGGAAGTAAGGCTGGAGCGGGCCTGCCCCAGCATCTTGGAAGGAGCGATGCCCTCCCGTCTCCCCGCCTTTGGTGCGAGGACGCGGGTGGAGCTGAGCCTGCGGCTGTGCCTGTGAGAAGAGGCCAGAGGCGGGGGTGGATTGCGGAGCGGAGCTGCCGGGAGGAGGAGGGCGGAGAGCCAGGAAGGCGTCCCGGAGGAGGCGGCGACGCAGAGTCGCGTAGCGGCGGCCCGAGGCGGTTCATCCGGTGGGCACTCTGGCCGAGGCAGGTCCGGGGTCTGGCGGGAGGCGGGGTGTCTCCGCCCAGGGGGCGAGTCCCCAGGCTGGCCCACGCGGTGTACCCAGGCCCCCTACTGGGCACGTGCGCGGCGGCGGGGCCGGGGCCGGAGCCGGAGCAGCCGGAGGGGCGGGGGAGGAGGACGGAGCGGGGGAGGAGGACGGCGGGGAGAGGAAAGCCCACACGGCCTCCGACCCCCCGCCGCCAGTGCGGCAGCCGGGACCCCGCGGGGTCCCATCCCGGCCGCCCGCCGCTCTGCGGAGCCCCAGCCCCGCGCCGCCGGCCCGGCCGGGTTGGCCGGGTTTCCGCCTTACTTTCCTGTGCTTAGAATTTGCAGCCGCATCTCCCGGCGCTCGAAGCCAATTTCACGGCCTCTGGGCTCGGCGCGGTGCGCGCGAGCGTAAACCGGCCCGCGCCCACGGAAAGGGGGCCGAGGAGGACCCGCCGAGGCCCCGTGTTTTCTATGGGGTGTGTGGGTCAGGTGGGTGTGGGCCGGATGGGGTGCGCCTCCGTGAACTGCCCTGGGAGAGATGGGCGGGGATGCAGGCTTGGCCATGCGTGTGCAGAGTGGCCCCCCAGTGTGAGCCACCTTGGGGATGCCCGTATGTGTTGGCCTGTGTGTGCCTACAGGGGCCCCTGTAGGCTTGTTCGTTTGGGTGTGTATGGGGTATGGTCCGCAGTGAGCAGGGGCCGGTGTGTTTCTGTGGGTGTGTTGACCTGTGTCTGTGCAGGGACTCAGGTGTGTTGGCACATGTGCCAGTCGCCAAGTTAGGGCAGACGCCCCCGTGTCTGGATTCTGTAGGCAGCTGGGTCCAGTACCTCAGGGTCTGTGTGTACACGTGTGTCTGCGGGAGAGTGAAATTCTGGGGGGTTGGTTGCTGTCTGGGTGTGACCCATGGGTGCTGGTGTGTGTGTGAGGTTGTAGTGTGTAGCCCATCCCTACAGGGTGCGTCCCATCCCTGTTGGCCACTGGGTGCAGGGGCAAGTGTGAGCCCGGTGGCTAGGGGGAGAGTGTCCCTCCGGACCTGGAGCTGGAGCTAGCTGGCTGCTTCCTTATCCGCTCCGGCTGGGGCTGGTGGATTTGAGGCATCGCAGGGACGGTGGATGGGGCGGGGTGGGGTGGCCGAGTGTGTGTTTCTGTTTCATTGCTGCCGCTGGCTGTCATCACGCGGTAGGTCTACAATATGTTTGTGAATGGCCGTGTCGAGGGGGCCGAGGTGTGAGCCCCTGCCTGCGGGGGAGGGCCGGGAGTACCATCTGGGCTGATGAGGTGTGGGGCCAGGCAGAGAGGGGCCTCTGCGGGACGGGATGAGTTGTATGCATGTGCACGTGTGCGCGCAGATGGAGGGCAGACTCGGCATGTCTGCCAGGGGGTTTGTGAGTCTCTGCAGGTGGAGGTCAGGCAGGTACGCTGCTCTAAGGGTGTGTGAGCAGTGGGGCAGAGACACTACAGCCGGCAGAGCACAGGTGGGGGCCACGGGCGAGTGCCGGTCCTCGCAAAGTTCTGAACAAGAGATGTGCTGGGGGTAGGGGAGGGGTGCTTCTTCCCTGCAGTAGAGAGGAAGAGGCCCAGCTGTAGAAGGGGGCGGGCCCAGTCAGTGTTGGGGTGACTAAGAAGAGGGTGGCGTGGTTGGAGGGGTGTGCGTGGGTATCGGCCATCAGGTCAGTGCGGGGTGCGTGTGGCCATCCCCACTTGGGTGTGTGTCTGTGATGGGAAGTGAGGTGTGGGGCTAGGACCATGACTTGGGAGGACCCTCCAGGCTGTGGGCCCAGCCAGGAGTGAAGGACATGGGAAGGGATGAGGTGGGTGGGAATGGGGGCCCTCAGCTCCCAGAAAATCTCTCCATCTGTTGTTTGCACCTCCTGCCCAGGGGCCATGGAGAGATTGGAAGAAGCCTTGTGGCCCCCGCCCCTCCCCTCCTCTCACCCCTGCACCTTGTGGGGTAGGGTGGGGAGTTCCCATCCCTCCGTCTGGGTCTCGAGCCCCTTCCCCTCCCTGTCTCTGCCCTGTCATCTTTCTGTCTCCATCTCTGCTCTCATCGCCCCATCTCTCTGCCTCCATCTCTCTCCATCTCTGCCTCCATCTCCTTCCACTCCTTCCCTCCCTCTTCTCACACTGATATTCATTTGTGGTATATTCGGTTGCCATGGGAAACCTAAGAAAGAAGTGAGTGTACCCTTCAAGACTTCAGCATTTTTCCCTCCTCCCCCCCTCCTGCTGTCCCCCCCTCCTCTCCTCTCCCTCCCTCCCCTTTCTCCCCTTGCCTCCTCCTCCTCCTCCTCACAGGAGAGGACTTGGGTGAGGAGCTGCCGCTGCACCTGAGACCCCACTGCTGCCTCTGCCGCTGCAGTTACCGTGGGGACCTGCCTGAGACCAGGCCAGGTACAGAGCTTCGCTGGCCAGAGGGGCTCCTTCCGCCTGCAGAGATCTGGTAAGGACAGGGTCCTTCTCACGGTGTGTGAGTGTGTGGCTGTGTGTGATCACGGCTCACATGACCTGGCCTTGAAAACCTGTGATGTAGCCTGGCCTCTGCCTCCTATTCCCTCGCCCCTGCCCCCAGCTGCAGGCACCCCCAACTCTGCTCCTCCCCAGCTTCCCTTCCACAGGGCCTGCGAGGCAGCTGGCAGAACGCAGGCCTTTGAGGGTCTTGGGCAGTCCACTGGGGAGGGGTGGGGAGGAAGCCCCTGCTGGCTCAGAGACCCCACTCCTGCCCTGTAGCCCAGCTGAGAGCCTGAGCTGGGCCTGCCTGAGCCCTAGAGCCCCGGGGGCATCTGTGGCCCAGCTGAGGGTGGAAGGACTGGTTTCCAGGGGATGGCCTGGGAGGGCATGGCCTCTTCTGCCTCAGGTGGGGGCCTTTCGTGGGGCGGACTGAGGGGCTGGGAGTGAGCTGGGAGCAGAGAAGCACTGGCAGCATCAGAACTAGGCCGCATCCAGTGTCATTGAACTTGGAAGGAGGCAGGAGAGCAGTCTGACACTAGGAGGCCACAGGCAGGGCAGCCGGCAGGAGCTGTCCCAGCTGGGGCTGGTGGCGGCCCTGGAGAGGAGAGGCCAAGGCTGTCACTGTCACCGTGGCTGTGCTGGTGGTGGCCACGTGGAGGGAGTTGTTGTCCAGGCGGGGCGCTGAGTGATGGTTGCCGTGGCAAGGGAGCTGCCTCTGTGGCATTGTGGTCTCCATGGAGAGAGGAGACAGAGGGAGGAGGCTGGCTATCTGGGCTTGGTGTTGGTGGTTGCTAAGGAGAGGGAGATGTTGTCTCTAAGATGCGGTGGTCCCCATGTGGAGGGGCTGTGGCTGGGCAAGGTGTTGGGGTTCCCCAGGGGAGGGCTGGTGTTGGGTGCTCTGGAGGGGGCTTGTGGAGGGAGGGAGGAAGTGTGGTGGGTGCTCCATGGAGCATCAGAGGAGGGGACGACGGGGGAGGGGCTGCTGCCTCGGTCTTGGTGTTGCCAGCACAGGCTGAAGGAGGGTTCTTCGGTGGGGGCAGTGAGGCACACTGGGTGAGTCTGAGCTGTGCTCTCTGCTCCCGTTGCTCACCCTGCCCTGTCCAGACCGGACTGGGGCCCTTGCTACACCCCTGGCATCCCTTCTCCCATGGCCTCCTCTTGCCCAGGCCTCCTGTGCACTTCGTGGCCAAGAGCCCCTGCCTCTGCTCCTTGAGCCCTCTCCGTCTTCAGGGCCTCACTCATCCTTCATCTGGACACGTCCTCCCTCCTTGTCCCCAGATGACTTTATCCCTATCCTTCGTGTTTGCTGAGCTCTGGGAAGCCCAGCACTGATGCTTGCCTTTGAGGTATCAGAGAGGGGAAGAGACTTGCCCAAGGTCACACAGCACAGATGCCCTGAAACTGGGGTTTGATCCTGGCTGCCTGCCTCTCCAAAGGTCCAACTTTTCAGGCCTAACTCCTTCCTCCAGAGCCTCCCCACCCCATTCAGAGTTGTCTCTCTTCCCTCAGTCCCCAGATATTCTCCAGAAGCACACATTCCATTTTAATGTCACTAAGAGGCAGTACGGAAGAGCACAGAGTTTAAATCCTGACTCTGTTGCTTACAGCTGTTTGAGTCTGTGCCTCAGTTTCCCCTTCTGTAAGATGGAGATGATGCTTCTGCCTCTCAGGGTTGCTGTCACCTGAGATAACTTCTGGGATGCCCTGGTTCCTGACATGCAGCAGACTCTCAGAAAGTAGTAGCTACCACCATTATCATAATTCCTTTAAAGAATGACTTTAAAATGGTTTTCTTACTTGCCTGGGGTGGACAGGGTGACTTCTCACCAGAGATCTGCCTCATTTTGTCCTTCTCTGTGCTCGTTGGGCAGCGGAGGTGCTGACCTGACATCAAGGAAGCAGGAGGCGGGGCCTCGTTGCCAAGTCAGGATGGAAGCTGACTCCCTGTCTGGTTCTCCAGGCTGACTCCCTGTCTGGTGCTCCCTGTGAGGTGCTCCCTGCCTGCTCGCTCCAGGGGCCTGGGCATGCACTTTAGGCTTGTGGGCATTGTACCCCTAGCTGTGCTGGGATACCACAGCCCCTTGGCTTCCTCCCCAGGGCCCAGGGTTCTGAGCCAGCTCAGCCACCCCTGGCTGGTGGTACCCTGGAAGTATCAGGGGAAGGCTGTCCTGTTAACCTCTTGGCACCACCAGAGGACAAGCCAGGCAAGGGACCGAAAAGGATATGCAAAGAGGGACATCTGAGGGGTCTGGGAAGTGACCAGCAGGATGTCTTTCCAGTGCCAGAGATCTGAGTTCAGATCTTGCCTCTGCCACTGTCTCGGTGGGTGGGCCTGGCAACTTTTCTCTGCCTTTCTGGACCTCAGTTTCTTCGTCTGTGTAATGGGCATAGTGAGAATCACTACATCACCTTGACAATGTGAGGCAGGGGAATAAAGTTAAAACCTACAGGGAGGTGTTTCCTGGAGTGGCAGCTGCTCTTTCTAGAACCTGTCAGCCTTCTTCACCTTTCAGACTGAGTTGGGTAAGAGGGGAAGGAGTGGTCCTGGGTGGCCCCAAATGACAGAAGTGGGCCCAACCAGGTACAGACCTCTGTTAGTCACAAGAGACTTTGTAACAGTCAGAGCTGTCTTCGGATGGGGTAGAGGAGGAACCGAGTGCTCTAAGTGCAGTGAGACCACAGAAGACTGGCAGGGGCAAGAGCTGAGGATTACAAGACCCAGGTTCATGTCCTAATGTTGCCCTTTATGGGCTGTGGGATCTCGGGAGCCTCAGTTTCCCCACCTGCAAGATGGGAGGAATAATAATGGAACAAGGGTTCTGTTAAATGAGTTCAGATATGTGGAAGAGATCTAGGGGTCCCTTGAATCCACACGGCATCTCATTTTCCAGAAGCAGAAAGAAAGCAAGGTTCAAGAAGCTTAAGGGGTTCATAGCAGTAATACTGACACCTGCTCTCTACCAATGTTCTGCTATGTGCCAGGCATTTTCCCACATGCTCCAGGTCTCATTGAGTTCCCTGGCCTTTGCACTTGCTGTTCCTTCTACAGGAGTGACTGTCCCTTCTGTGCCCACTGCTGCTCCTCAGGCTTGTGGTATGGCCGTCTCCTGTTCTGGCTCATTGTTGACTCCTCAGGGAGCTCCCCATACCCCCTACCACTCTGTTCATTGTTCTGGTTCTTTCTCTGTTTCCTTATAACCCCAAATGCAGCCTATGCTATTTTGTTTATTTGTTTATTATCCATGGGGCTTCTCCAATGGCTCAGCAGTAAAAGAATCCTCCTGCAGTGCAGGAGACGCAGGAGATGTGAGTTCAATCCCTGGGTCTGGAAGAACCCCTGAAGGAAGGCAGTATTCTTGCTTGAAAAATCCCATGGATAGAGAAGCCTGGCAGTCCAAAGGGTCATAGAGTCTGATGTGACTGAGCTACTGAGCACTTATTATCTACCCTCCTACTGTCGTAGAGTATCAGCTCCATGAAGGTAGGAGCTTTTTCTGTCTTGTTCCCTGCTCTGTCCTTAGGGCCTTGAATGGGGCCTGGCACATAGTAGATGTTCAATAAATACATGATGACAGCATGGATGGGTAGCCTGCCGGCTACCTGGAGGGTCATCTCATCAGCCCCATTTTACACAGGAAAGTGGCTCTAGGGAAGGTTGGTAGTTGCCCATGGGCACACAACTGGAAGTAGGTAACAGACCTGGCACTTGACCCCAGATTGGGCTGATTCTGGATCAAGTCCTTTTCCTGCCATACCACACCTCCTTGCTGTGGGGAGCTTTGCAGTTTAGGCTATAGAGTTTGGACTTTACTCCAAACACAGAGGCAGAATCACAGAAAGGCATTTAAGTAGGGAAGGCTCCTGCTGGAAGGAAAAGATTTTGGTAGCAGTCAGAATTGTCAAAAGAGATTAGTTCAGCTGCCCGCTACTGTGTGGCCTTAGGCAAATTAATCACTCTGTGTCTCAGTTTACTTGTCCATAAAATGGGGATAATATCTTGGCTGATCTCAGCTGGCTTCTGGGAGGCAGTGGGCTTTGAGCTTTGGTTTGCAGACTTGCCTCCATGGTCCCCTCCTCAGGGTGGGAAAACAGCATCTGCTGAATCACCCCAGTCCCCAGAGGCCCCAATGTCAGCCCTGAGGGGTTTGAGGTTTTGAGTTCTGAACAGGGGACTTATTCTGTGCCTGGGACAGGCCATTTTCTGCCCTAGCAGCCTGGTCTCTCTAGTCCCACTCCACCCCTACTGCCCTTAGAAAAAGAGAGAGAAGATCAAAGAGGAGAGAGAAGGTTTTAATGGAACACCTACTATGCGCCAGGGCCATTCCTGTATGTATCCCCTTTCACAGTCACAGCAGCACCTGCCGAGCAGGTTTGTTATACCCATTTTCCAAATGCCCAGACTCAGGCTTGGGGAAGTCTTCCACAGGGCAAGAGCAGGGATTTGAACCTAGGTTCGGAGGCTTCTGTCTCCTCTGTGTTGGAGGAGGGGAGAGTGATGAAAGTGTCTGGGATGGGTCTGCTCTGGGGTTCCCTGGGGAGGGCTGTTGGTCTCAGCCCTCCAGGATGGGAGCTTAGAGTGGCCCTGATTTAAGGCTGGACCTCAAGGGGTTGTGGATGGTCAGACCGCTCCCACCAACCCAACTCCCCCGCACCGAGTGCTGGCAGCCTCACTTACCCCGAGAATAGATCTAGCCTTGTGTGTGGTTATCCCAGTGTCTCACTCAAGACCCCATTTGTTTGGGGAGGAGAAAGGGGGGTCTGTGGTACCCAACAGAGGTGGGATTCATGGACAAGACAGGGGAGGGGGTAGCCTGCCTGGTACGGGCCAGGCCTGAACGAGTGCCAGGAGGGAGTGAGAGGAGGGGGCGTGGGCGTGGTCTGAGGTCCTGCTTGGGGCAGAGCCTTGGGCCGGGGGCTTTGTGAATGGAGGTACAGGAGGAGGGGGTGGGAGTCCCACTCTCAGGACTCCTGGTCTAAGGGAAGGAGAGTGTG